TGAAGATGGTGTCGCTGGTGAGGTTGCCGTGGATGATGGGGGGCTCACAGGAGTGCAGGAAGCTGGGGGGGCACAGAGGTGTCCCGAGCACAGCCCGCACCCCTGGGGCCCCGCGGGGCAGGGCAGGGAGCTGGGGGAGCCTCACCTGAGAGCCGAGAGGATTTGGGTGCACCAGCGCTTCCAGGCCTAGGGCAGGGACAGAGCAGGGACACAACTGCAGCAGCCAGGACACGCTGGCACCCACGGCCAGGCCAGGGCTTCCCATCCCGGCCATCCGTAGGACAAGGGACATCCCCTGTGCCCTGCCAAGGCTCAGGGTCCTTTAATGACATCCCCAGTGACAGGGACATCCCCTGTGCCCTGCCGAGGCTCGGGGTCCTTCCCTGACATCCCCAGTGACAGGGACATCCCGCAGGAATGTCCTCCAGGAACATCCCCCGGCTGGGGCTCTGGGGTGTGTCCCACACTGTCCCACAGTCCTGTCCCTGTCCCCTGTTCCAATGACTGCAGCAAATGGCTCAGGGCTGCAGGAGAGCTGGGAGGGACTCTGGAGGAGGGATGGAGTGGCTGCCAGAGGACAGGGATGGATGGGATATTGGGAAGAAACCCTTCCCTGGGAGGGTGGGGAAGTCCTGGCACAGGTTGCCCAGAGAAGCTGTGGCTACCCCACCCCTGGCAGTGCCCAAGGCCGGGTTGGACAGGGCTTGGAGCAGCCTGGGATAGTGGAAGGTGGCCCTGCCCATGGTAGGGGTGGCTCTGGATCATCCCACAGGTCCCTCACAGCCCTGGGCTTTGCAGGTGATGGTGGTCCCTTGTCCCCAGGTGCCAGCCCTGGGCAGGGGCAGCACACCAAGAATGGTGACACCTGGGGCAGTGCCACCCACTGCAGCCACTCCCACCTTGGGGCCAGTGGGATCCAGCTGGGGCTCTCCTGGGGTCCAGCAGGGTCCCCATGTGACCCTGGGAACAGTAACTCCCACCTGCTCTGCCCTGTAAGATCCCAGAGACCCTCCCTGGGACGGGGACACAGAGCCACCCGCTCCAGCTGGGACCCCTGTCGTGCTCCCAGGACTCACCCGGGCATTCATGGCCTTGTGGTTCTTCTTGGTTTTCTTCAGGAACTGCTTGAGGCTCCCTGAGGACACGTACTCTGTGATGAAGATGACCTGGCAGGGGACAGGGGGTCAGCTCCCCCCAGCCCAGCCCCTCATGGGGAAAGGAGGCTGAGGAGCAGAGCTGGGACCCCCTGGTGCCCCCTGGCCCCTACCCGTGCCTTTGAGTCCTTCACATCCAGCCAGTACTTGTGGAGCTTCACAATGTTGGGGTGATCCACCAGCACCAGCTGCTCAAACATGGTCTTGATCTTCTCCTGGGGGCACACAGAGCAGAGGTGAAGTCCTGGGATGGGCCAGAACAGGTGAGGTGGAAGGTCCTGGCATGCAGAAGGTGCTGGGATGTGGCAGGGCACCCCCAGAGCTGGGGGTGTCACAGGGACACTGGTCTGAGGTCCAAAGGACCTGCCTTTGAGGGAGAAGCCAAGGAGGACCCAGTGCCAGAGGGCAGGAGCCCATCCTGCCAGGCTGTACCCCACCCAGGAAGGTGTGGGGGGCTCTCAGGGTCTCACCTCGTGTGCTTTGAAGGCCTTCTTGTCGGTGAAGAGCAGCTCGTTCCACACCACCTCCACACCCTCCTCCGTGTCCATGGCCAGGAAGGTGCTCTGGATGCCGGGCATGTTCCCCTGGTTCACCTGGGGAAAGGGGAGGCTTGAGGGATTGCTGCACAGGCAACTCACCAAAAAAAATCCATTTTCTTTTCTCTTTGGCACAGGAACATCCTGGCCTGATCAGCCAGGCCTTACTGGCCAACCTGGCTGGTTTATCCACAGAGCCACCTCCAACCATTTCTGGGAATGCCGAGAGTTTCTGCCCACATGACCCCACGGCCTTGGGAGGTGCATTGTGGCTACAGCTTTGTTGCACAATCATCTCTGTGTCACTGGAGCAGCAGTGAAGGCTTCCAGAATGATTGACACTGACACTTCCCAGAGTAAAAGCACAGATAAATAAATAACAAATAATAAATAAACCAGCCTGAAACACGATTCCTGCCCAGGAAGAGTAGTCTCCATGCTCTTACAACACTCCCTGCCATGGCAACACGGCACTCTCTTACAAACAAAGCTTTTTTGGAAATAAGGTTCGTGGGGTGGCCACGGAAGAGGCTCTGGCTGGGACCTGGAGCGTGGAACAAATCTCCAGCTGGTGCCGGTCCTGTGGGAGCTCTGGGCCAGGAGGGAGCAGGAGAACCAGCCTGAGGGAGCAGGTCCTGAGCTGGCCCCTCTGCCTCTGGAGCCACCCACACCTACACTGTCCAGGGAAAATCAGAAGGTCTGGACAAACCAAAGCCACCACATCATCTCTGAACATCCTGAGGAGCCTGGGTGCAGTCCCAGGATCTGTCCAAGCACTTCCCATCCCCAGTGGCCACAGATCCCTATCCCAGGACCCCGTGTGGAACAGCTCCACAGGTGTCACCTCTGCAGGTGACATCCTGCATGGACCTTCCCGGTCTCCAGACCAGCCATGACCACCAGGACCCATCTCCAGCCCAGGCAAAACCTCCAAGGCACCTGGCTCAGACCCCCACCCCAGGACAGGGCTCTTGCCTCCCAGCAGTGGTGCCTGCTGCATGCTGACCCGCTGCATCCTGACCTGCTGCATCCTGACCCGCTGCATCCCAACCTGCTGCCCACCCCAAAGCATCCCTGTGGAAGTGGCACTGCAGCCCCCCCTGCTCCTGCCCCTTCCTGTGGGGCTGGGGCACTCCAGGCCTGGGGCCGTGCCCCTGTCATGCCCTGTCAACCCGAGCAGGGGCACACTGCCCCCACTGCACCTGCCCCCATCCCATCTGCCCCCATCCCATCTGCCAGAAGAAAAGGGGGATTTTTCTGCTGCTCCTGGGGCAGGTCTGTGGTGTGCTGATGCTGGGGTTGGGGCTCAGGGCTCATCCTGGCTGCCAGGGCTTGTCCTGATGCTGGAGCTAGTCCCACTGCTGGGGTTCATCTTGCTGTTCATCTCGGGGCTCATCCCACTGCTGGGGCCGGTCCCAGTGCTGGGTCTGGGGCTCATCCTGCTCCTGGGGCTGGTCCCTGCGGTGCTCGGGGCAGCCGTGGGTGCTCAGCACCCCCAGCTCATGAGCAGGGCACGCCCAGGCAGTTCTTGGCCCCATTCCTGCTGCAGCCACACAAAGCACCTCTGTTCCTTGTTCTGCCCGGCACAGGCTCCGCGTGCTCCGCACAAAGCCCAGCACGGACGGCGAGGGACTCGGCCACAGTCCTTCCAGAAATGACAGTGATCCCAGTGCACACACAGCCAGAGTGGGAATCACAGACTGCTTTGGGTTGGAGGGACCTTAAAGCCCGTCTCGTCCTGCTGACACACAGGAGGAGCCCAGGGGGTCCCTCCCAGCTCCAAACTAGCTGCTTTCTGAGCCCCAGGGGCATCCCGGTGCTCAGGGCTCAGACACTGGATCTGCCGGGATCCAGGAGGCTCTGGAACGTGATGGGGAGGAACCTTCCCCGCTCCGTGCGGACAAGAACGTGCTCCGTCTTGTGCTGAGTGAGAACAAAGCTGATCCCCACCAGCTGCTCCCACTCTGAGCTCTGGCCTGGCCTCCATAAATAAATAAACGCGGCACTTTCCACACAGCCTGACTGGGACAAAAGGCAGTGGTGCAGGTCTCCATGGTTTACCCCTTGTGCTTTGTCCCCCATGGTTCATGCCTGGTGGTTTATCCCTTGTGGTTTATCCCCAGTGGTTTATGCCTGGCGGTTTATTCCTTGTGCTTTGTCCCCCGTGGTTTATCCTTCCTGGTTTTTCCTCAGTGGTTTATCCCTGGTGATTTATCCCCCATGGTTTATCCCTGGTGATTTATTCCCTGTGGTTTATCCCTGGTGATTTATTCCCTGTGGTTTATCCCTGGTGATTTATCCCCCATGGTTTATCCCTGGTGATTTATCTCCCGTGGTTTAACCCCCATGGTTTATCCCCCGTGGTTTATCCCCCGTGATTTATCACCCATGGTTTATCCCCCATGGTTTATCCCCTGGTGGTTTATCCCCCGTGGTTTATCCCCCATGGTTTATCCCCTGTGGTTTATCCCCCGTGGTTTATCCCCCATGGTTTATCCCCCGTGGTTTATCCCCCGTGTTTTTTCCCCCGTGGTTTATCCCCCATGGTTTATCCCCCGTGGTTTATCCCCCATGGTTTATCCCCTGTGGTTTATCCCCCGTGGTTTATCCCCCGTGGTTTATCCCCCGTGGTTTATCCCCCGTGGTTTATCCCCCGTGGTTTATCCCCCGTGGTTTATCCCCTGTGGTTTATCCCCCGTGGTTTATCCCCCGTGGTTTATCCCCTGTGATTTATCCCCCGTGGTTTATCCCCCGTGGTTTATCCCCCGTGGTTTATCCCCGGTGGTTTATCCCCCATGGTTTATCCCCTGTGGTTTATCCCCCATGGTTTATCCCCCGTGGTTTATCCCTGGTGGTTTATCCCCCGTGGTTTATCCCCTGTGGTTTATCCCCTGTGGTTTATCCCTGGTGGTTTATCCCCCGTGGTTTATCCCCCATGGTTTATCCTCGCTGCTCAGTGAGCACCACTCAGCTCCGGCGCCGCTCCAGCGCTGGCCAGGCCGGGAGCGCCTCGGCTGCCGGAGCGCGCTTGGCCGGCGCCCGGAGCGCCCGCTGGGGACGGGGCAGGGCAGGTTTACCAAAGATCAGGTTGCAGCTTCCCATCAATCGCTCCCTTCTGAGCTTTTCTCGTCAGCGAGGGCTGAGACAGGCACGGGAACGGGCTCAGGGAAGCAGCTCCGGGGCCTGGGAGAGCAGCTGGGGGATT